AAAACAAAACAAAACAAAACAAAACAAAACAAAACAAAACAAAACAAAACAAAACAAAACGAAACGAAACAAAAAGACATGAAACTCTCTAGGAAAAATATCGAGCAAAAATTAGGGGTGGAATATTTCTTAGGTAATGAAAACAATTATTGATTTCTCCGCAGTCACCTGTACTACCATCAAGACCGTAGACAGTCCAGTTACCCACAACACGCTAGCGACAACACAAGGAGCCTGGATGAAAGACCCGCTAGGAGTTATGGGTAATGACACCATATTCGTCCTGGAGAATTACTACTCGAACAAAGTCGAAGAGTTTGAAAACATGGAAAAATTCAAAGCAGGCGTGAAGAGTAACACGTACACGCTTCCGTATTATCGGGACGGGACAGGCGCGGTGGTGTATGGATCATATCTTTATTACAACAGGTATGGGATTAACTAGCATATCTTTTTAGATGGACAGATAAAGGTTACAATTACTAAAATTTCACTTTATAACAGTTCTCCAAATTTGGAAGGAATCAGAAGTAACGCAAATCTCTGCGAAGTTTTGCTCTTTTGGAACTGTTTAGTCCCAAAATCACTGAACGTGCGAAAAATGTGTACACCAGTCCCTCGCGCCTTCCTTCCGTGCTCACTTTGCAATTTATAAGAAGGAAACAAATTACAAGCAGTCTAAGTGAAAATGCGAAGTAATCGACCTATATTATCTGAAACTAACTTGGAGGCCCTGCCTACAAGCAGGTTTATTTAATTGTTGCTAATGTATATTTAACAATTTAGCATATTTCTAGTACTTACTTGCACTACAGAAAAAAAATGTTGCAGTAAATACATAAGCTCATAAACTTCTCAAAATTTCTTCAAACTTTAGCTAGAGAATCTCGGCATTGTTGAAGTTTTCAAAGCTTCCAAGTTTTGAATTTTGCCATATTTGAGCGATTTTGGAACTTTCAGTTCGTCATGATTACAACGCAATATATAAGACATGAAAAGTTAATTCAGTCAATGGCATTTGAAAGGAGGCTTAAGTTGCTTCACTACATTACATAGTTCCAATGAGTGGCTGCATGGTTCGTGTTCACAAACCCAGTTTAGAAAGAAAATAACCACGGTTCTCGATTGATGAATTCCAAATTGTTATTGTTTTTTTAATCTCTTAGGATGAACGGATGATTTACAGTAAAACCAAGTGAAGCCTACACCCCCAGATTACATTAATGAATTGATTATTTGAATATTGAACCCGCTAATCGTTTCAAAAATGCAATAATGAATTGGTTATTTGAATATTGTACTCGCTAGTCATGTTAAATTGATTTTTTTTTTAACATTAAACCCATTAG